CTTCTTTAAATTGCCCAACTTTAAAGAGTTAATTATTTCATGACAATCCCCCCCCCTTCTGCAGCAGAGTACAAGAAAGGGATCAATTGTTCTATAAAAGAAAAGCTCTGTAGTGCGTTAATGTGTTACTGCAAAAACTAATCGCTACAATAAAGAGTCTGTGCTTCCACAGTGTAAGAGTCTCTGTGACTTTGATTAATGCTTCCCACGGGATACCTCAGCCTCAATATGGGCTGAAGAAACTTCCTAAATATTCAATGAGCATGGTCAAAAGATGTATAAAACAAATCAATCTGACACCTTAAGCTGGCTAGGCAGCAGTTGACTCAAGGGGTGGAAGGAATGAGATACATCATTTAACACGCTGAGTTGGAAAGCCTGGAAGCTCCCGTTCTTCAAAGCTAAAATGACACTGAATCTGTTGTATTTAGCAGTCTAAGAATTATTAGTTTACACATTAAAATCGGCACCAAGTGGAGCGAAAGAACTGGATACAGCTGGTATTTCTTTTTACAATACCAATTAAGAAGGACGTTTTTGCCTCAAGTTAAAAACGGTGGTTGCATCTTATTCAGCCCTATTTAGTTTAGCTCTTTAATTTAAAATAAGAAAAAAAGTTACAGTGCTTCATGACTCAAAGAACATTTCTCAGAATTCTAAGTGCAATTGATCCCCTGAAACAATTTGAATTTATTTTCAAATAAATGTGTTGGGCTTATTTTTATGGAAAATACTCCATTATTTCATAATGTTTGTTAAATTAGCTTTGATTTAAAGTAAGTCACTTTAAGCATAGAACCTACATAGATCAGCACATGGCATTGAACTGGACTTTGTACATTTATTGTGCAACATATTAGGATAAATTGCAGTGTGTGGGCTGTGCTCCAAAGAGCCCTTGTATATTTTCCAAGCATTTGGTTCCAACTCAAGCTCATGTTGTATGAGAAATGACCTGAAAAAAATCTCTGATTTTTTGGAATGAATTTTTAATGGGTTTTGATAGCAATGTTTGATGGCGAGTTCCTACATATGGAAAGCCAGTCCATGACTTCCTGGAACTTTACCCACGAACTGCAAAAACCAACCAACCCATCTACCGAACACCCAACTTCTAGTTTTTATAGCCACAATTGATGATAAATCATTTTCATGTTCTGCTGCAATATATTATTAGCAATTTTAACTCCCTTCCTATTAACTTTTAAAGGGATCCCAATAATTCAAGGACTAATTGCACCACATTAATGCAAATATTTTTGTCTGACATAAAAACTTGGTTTTATAGCCCAAGATATGCTGCTGCCTGAGACAGAGAAGCAAATGACACTCTATCATCAACACAAGATATATACAACCCAAAGCTAGTTTTTCACCTTAGGCATTTATTCCCCCTCTGAATATAAAAATGTAATAATAAATAATGAATTAAATACCTAACAATTTTCTGTCACTTCAAAATAACTTCAGATCATCTCCTCAAAATGGTTATCTAATTCTGGGATATAGTAAGACCAGACCTTATATGGTTAAAGGGACTTCTCTAATTTAACCTAATTTTTGTCCTCTTTTTCTTTACATGTGATACTTACATTGATGGTTAAATTTATACTGAGCTTCTGCTCTCACGACTAACTACCCATGTATCTGACAAATTGTACTTATATTGCTGTACTAGCAAAGAGCTCAGTAGTTCTAAAACTCAGCTGCAAAATCTTGCTACAGAAAATTTTACTATATAAGATTAACAAAATGTGATCTTATGTCTTTTAGTTGGTTATTCTTGCATGAAGGCAATGTTCACAACCACATCACATATCCTAGAACAGATAGTGACAGTTTGCTGAAATAATGATTAGTGCATCGTATATATTTCTCAATATGGTGCCTTCCAGATGTGTTAATGTTAAACATTTCCAGAATCACACTCGGAATTATCAGATTGTAGAGAAGTAACATATGCTACCCCAAATAATTATCTCCCAAACACTTTGTGTGGAAATTATGATTTATTTCCTTACCATTAGACATAAGTAATAAATTATTACTTATGTAGTAGTAAACAAATTACTATCAATTTGCCATTAGTTTTAAAATTAACATTGTTACATATAGTTTGGCTAATGAACTGATGTTAAAGTTATTGGGGCATGGTATCCATTTTGGGTTTGACAGGAATTTTTTGTAGTGAATGGACAACACTGCATTAAGTTGTATCATCTGTATATGAATGGCATCATGGCATTTTACTTCCAAACAAAATAACATGGAAAGAAGCTCATCATGGAGCCCCAATCTATTTTTAGATCATATGACTTTTTTGCCCTCTGACACATGGAAAAGCCTATTCAAAAGCAATGTCAGACCTTCAGCATTACTCAGATCCTGCTCATTCTTAGCTCTGTGTATTGAGTGGTATGTCCAATCCTTGGAAGGTTCATTTGAATCTCGGAGCTTTGAATGAACAGGATTCAAGACCTCGTTATAAAGATAAAGCCCGATTTTGTTGGATTCCAGCTTCCATATGATGTCCCAGCTAGCTTGGGCAGTTATAGCTGAATTTATTTATTTATTCCTAATGAGATCTAGTAAAACTAACAAAAATCATCGCTTTGTATTTTTCACCCCATCTGGAGTGTTTACAATTATTGTACTACATATTCCATTAGACTACTAGGTTTCTCACTTTTTCTTTAGTTTGAGAATGGAAAGATTGCTATCGTATCTGATATATATCTACCACCTATCTTTCTATCTTGCCTATCTAAACACAGAAACATTCACACAAACAATGAGAGATTGAGACAGAGAAGAAGAAAAAAAAAAAGGAAATGATGGGCACAAGATTCTATTCTGTAGATTGCCTATATGAACCAGGAGCTAAACCCAGGTCAGTCTGAACAAATCTGCAGAGCAAATCAAAAGAGAAGCTGATTTCACTCATGAACTGTTACATAAAATAAACATCCCAAAATGTATCAACGTGGAAACCCACCCTCCAACCCCACTCCCCAAGAAAAGAGGAATGGATCTAATATTTACATCTACTGGTGTGTGATGTTGCTGACCCCGAATGGCTGTTGCCTTCCACCACGGAAGCGGTTGCCTTTCTGTGGTGGGTGAATGATCCCTATATTGGCTGTTTGTAAAGCACTTTGGGCTTCTTCTGGATGAATGATGCTATATAAATATAAGGTGGCATAACATCAAAATGTTTCATATAAACTTGGCAACATTGTAAGAAGACTGAGTTCGGTTGTCACATGCTGAAAAAAACAACAGGCACTAAATACTAGTGAAATGCTTCTGTGCAACTGCTTGAGTTAACGTCTGCTACAAAACAGAACGTTAAGAGAGTCCTCATGAGGTTCTCTCAAGCCATATTGAGGTCAAGCTGTAGCGATGGCTTGAAATCTCCACAGAGATCCTTTGCATTGTTATAGTGGAGATAATATTGCCACAGAAGCATTGCTTTTCTTCAGTTCGTTGCACGGTTCAGAGACAATCATCAGGTGTGGGTTAAGTATATAGAACAAAACATTTTTAAGAGACCTGAATGGCCAAATGTGGAGTGGTCACTGACCACCCTAGACACATTCATCCTTTACACCTTCACTGTTAGGTTTCATTTTCTGATCAAACAGCTTTTCAAAGTATTATCACAGTCTGCTAAATCAGTTTCTCCAGAAACTCTCATTGGACAGAATAGATTAACTCTATGTACCATGCAAACAAACAAACAAACAAACAAAAACCATACATTAATCTAGCACAAAGAATGATATTAACAAGACTAGGACAGTAATGGTTAAATTAAGCACAATTTTAGTTACATTAAATATAGCATTGAAGCTTAGTTTTTTAAACCAATTAATAAAATATGAAGGCTAATAAAAAGTAAGGAAAAACCTACTAAAACACCTGTTTTATTTTAGAAGGGCACATAAAGAGAAAACCATAAACCTGCTCTATTATAGATAGAAGCAGGCCATTCTTAATCAAAAGTACAAATCCAGATTTGCTAGCTTCTGGAGTTGGGAAGAGAGTTAAATATGCAGAGCATTTCGGAGAGAAAGGGACAGGACAAGAGGAAATTGAACACAGCAAATTTAAACTAATATGATGTTTATTTTTAAAGGTTTTCAAAATGATACCATGTATGTCATTATAATAATTGGAACCCAAACTAGTTTTTTTTAAAGATGATTAACACAAAAAAATCAAGTTGATGTGAAGAAACAATTACTTTAGAAAAAAAATCAGGAGGTCCTAATATTCTTAGAATGAGGGGAGGATGCAGCTGTACGTCGACAGCTTTCATATTCTCATTTGAATAATGTGGCCTGAATCTGTCAGTTTATTCATCCTCCTTATGTTCAGTGTACTCTGCATCAACAACAAATTAAGTTGTAAATAAGAGACAATCATCACTTTCGTTTTTAAGCAGCTACTGCATGGAGAATTTCAATGTTGTATTCCGTTTTTTGATGGAAGAAAAAGGGATCTCCATAGTGGGCACTAATGTAAGCAGAATATTAGAAACATGCCTGCAATGGAACAATTAAAGGAGAATTTTAAATCTGTTCTCCAAAATGCCCTTAGATAGTAAGCTAATGCCACCAGTAGAAATTTACCGATACAAAACTGTGCCATTCAGCATTTGATTTTTTTTATCTCCATGTCACAGTTGAGGGCAGAGAGAAACATTAGAAAATGCAATTCATAAATTCATATGTAAATCAAAGGAAGGAAGGAAGGAAGGAAGGAAGGAAGGAAGGAAGGAAGGAAGGAAGGAAGGAAGGAAGGAAGGAAGGAAGGAAGGATATAAAACTTTGTCAGCATATTTTATTAGCAGAATTAAATGAAAATTAATAGACATTCAAGAATTTCAAAGATGCGATCAAGACCAGGGAAGAGAATAAACATTAAAATAGCATTTCCTACCTTTACATCTGAGAAGTAGGTTTTCAGCATATTGGAACTTGGGTACCGAGTATAAAAGAACATAAGCTTGGCCTTTTTTAAGTGATTTGGTGACAAACCTTCCTGCATGTAGGACAAAATGAGTTAAGGAAAAATATTTGGTTTGAATGACAGCTCTCAATATTAAGGGCTAACAAAATTCTCTTGGAATAATTGTATTTCTAATAATTAGTATTCAGTTAACATAACAAGCAATTACTTAGGAAAGGGAAAATTATGAATCTGAGTCTACAATATAATTTAGAGATCTCAAGTGGCACAATTCCTTGAGCATATTGGTAGTTCCTATTCAACACAGTAAAATATGGATAAGATTTCTCCTTCTTTTTGGGAAGAAGAAATGGTGGAAGAATTATTTCAAGTGTCCAATTTGCAAACATGTATGTTCATTTGTTGCTAGGAAAACAAATATGTAAATATGTGCATGTAATTTTTTTTCTTTCCTTATGCACTTTCCTTTTCCTTAAGCATCACATCGTTCACATGAATGTTATGCAGATAATACCAACAGAAACTTTCTTCTAGAGATACACTAGAGATACACCAAAGTATATTTTCTGAACATTGTTACCTTTCAGATCTGCAAACTGAACAACCAAAAGTGTTCCCGGAGGAATATGGAGCTAACTATAACAATCTAGGCATTCTGGTGCTCCTCCCCCCCCCCAACCTTATTGCTTCTTGGCACTCTTTTGTGTACTCTGTGCTAGGGCAGTTTTGGTCACATCTGTGAAGCAGGCTGGCCCTGCCATTTCCTCTGTAAATTAATGGCTTTATAATGTATCAGAAATGAAGAAGCACATGACAAAAGTCAACGTGGCCCCACAAGGTCAATTAAGATAGCTCCCAGTAACTTCTTGGAAGACTGTCTCCCTTAAAGACAGTCAGTACGCACATATAAACATGTCATTTATTAAATAGCACACTGCAAGGCAGGGAAAGGTCAAACAAATTCAAAGTGATCCAGAAATTGAAGCACTTTCACTAACATGGTGAAAAAAATATTAAAAGGCAATATTTGTCAAGTTCCCTGTTACAATTTACAGTGCGCCACAATTAACTTTTTATTGTTTTTAGGTTGTTGGTTTGGATCAATCTTTTTTCAAACAAAGCAGTAGCTTGTAGAATTTTTGAAACATGGAGTGGATGCAAATCGTATTTGTTTGTTCTGTCTGTCATATGGCTTAATTTTAATTTTCCAATGATACAAAAAAAAACCCCCACCCCAAAACAACCATTTAAGGTTGCTGGTTTGCATAAGCACACGGCAGACCATGCTCAAAAATTGCAAAAAAGATAACTTATGATGGACATACATTTTGTGCCAGAAGAAAAGTTTAAAGGACCTCCATTAGCTTGATGGGGAAAAGTAAAGGAGCATTAATGCCTTTCTGCCAACTCTCAAAATGTACATATAAAATAACAGTGGCAAGCTATCACCACCTGCATAGCAATATGAGTTATGAACAAATAAAAAGTTTTCCAATAGAATTCGTTTTATTACACAACTGCACTGAGGGGAAGGGAAATTTATTCACAAACGTGCAAATATTCACGGGATGGGTATATTTGCACCCTTAAATAACAGTTAATTGTGAGGCAGTTAACCTTGGAAATCATTTGTTGGGAATTTTTCCGAAGCAGATCCATTTTAATAAATGACAAGCACACAAGAAAACGAATGCTTTCTCACATGGGTCTCATTCATTTTAATAATCTTTGCTAGTAGAGGTTCCTAGCTAAGTAATGGCTGTTGTTATTGTTTCATTATTTTGTTTGTATCTTGTTTCTCCTGAAAAGAACTCAGCCTGATCCATATATCCTCAAAACAGCTTATAAGAATAGATTAAACAGAAGGATGGTAGTTTGGTTCAAAATCAATTATGTATTTTATTGACCACATGGGTATCGGAACCCAGAAATTTCAATATTCTAGTCACAAACATATCTAAGTTCTTTTAATGCTATGGAATTATTAAGATTCTGCAAAATATATGTTATGAGCAAATTCCAAATTTTTCAGTGTTTTTTGCACTTCAAAAGCTTGCCCAGCACTTTTAATGCAATCTTATTTGCTTTTTTTTTGTTTTTCAAAATACTTCGCTTCAGAGATGACATTATTGCTAAAAAGCCTCACTAATAGCAACTATTAAAAATAGATAGCAAAACATTTAAAGGCCAATAGTGAGATGACCCTTTGCTAAAACTGAGTTGACCAATTGGTTAATTTTCCTTTTAAGTGCTTGTGCTGAAAAGCAACCGTTCTTCCAAGAAAGCACTGCCTGTTTCCAGGATACTTACACACGCACAATGAGTCATGATGGAATAGATTCAGTAAACATACAGCTGTACCGAACACGAGCTAAGCTCCATTCAAGGCCAGGAAAGAAAATGAGCACAAATAAATATTAAGGAGGTAAGGGGAGGGGAGGAGAGAGAGAAAAGAGGTAGGAAAGCAGAGAGGACAAAAAAGCAAAGAGAAGGCAAACACGCTCTGCCCCAACAGCTGATGTTGCTTGCCTCAGTACTCTGCCATAGCTTTGTGAAGACAGATGACATTCAATTGTATGTCTAATGCAAAAGACAGTAACTGCTGAAACCTGAACCAGCTGCCAGGTGTAAAAAAAGGGGGGGAGGGGTAAAGAAAAGAAAAGATGATAAATCCATAAATTAATGAAAGACATCTGCTCAGGAACATAAAAGATCAGAGGAGCCGTGTACTGCAGCTGAACTAAAACAGTGTTCAAACAACCCGAGAATCTGATTGTTATATATTTACAAAGCATAATGTATTTCTGTGTAGAACAGCAGCAGCAGCAGCAGAAAGGGAGATGTGAAGAACAAGCAAAAAGAAAAATTAAAAGAAGAAAATACATATATGTATCTTAGCGGCTCTTTTTTATATATATATAAATCCTCCTGATTTGAGATGTCTGGAGATAAAACATGGGGTAGGATGAGGCAATATTTTTTTCTCTGGCTGGAAGCTTCCTTGTCAGAATCGTTACAAGAAGAGATCTTTATTTTTATCCCCTTTAAAATTTTATTCCCTTTAAAATCCTCTCAAAGGTTACCTGTCAAATATACACACACACACACACACTATATACCCATGCATATGCATATACACAAAGAGAGAGAAAAGAAATATGAATATAGGAACAGACAGGTGCTTCCAATATGTATTATCTGCTTTAATCAATGCATGTCCAAATTTATAGACATTGTGTTTGTATTTAGGATTAGTATTAATAATATACTGAAAAAAAGCTTCTGTTGATTTAATCAAAGTGCATTGGACTTTGTACAGGTAGTCCTCGACTTACAGCAGTTCATTTAGTGACTGTTCAAAGTTACAAGGGCAATGAAAAAAGTGACTGATGACTATTTTTCACATTTCTGACCATTGCAGCATCCCTATGGTTACGTGATTTTCATTCAGATGCTTGACAACTGACTCACATTTATGACGGTTGCAATGTCCTGGAGTCATGTGATTCCCTTTTGCGACCTTCTGACAAGCAAAGTCAAATGGGGAAAACAGATTAATTTAACAACCGCGTTACTAATTTAACAACTGCAGTGATTCACTTAAAAAATGTGATGAGAAAAGTCATAAAATGGGGCAAAACTCACTTAAAATTTTCTTACTTAACAACATACATTTTGGGCTCAATTGTAGTCGCAGGTTGAGGACTATCTGTATAGTAGCCATGCATTTACTAAAAGTGATTTTATTTTTGCTCTGAAATAGTTCTGATCAAAGCATTGCCATTTGTTAAACTTTGTTTCTTAATAGTGCTTCTTAATACTTAATACAGCCTCATCTTGCTGAGGAATTATCTGCCTGACTTTCAAAGTTTTTCAATGTTATGAAACTACTTTCTAGAAAGGAAAAGATTACAATCTTTACTTGGGAAGAAAAATAGATGTATTACAGCAACAAAACTACACCCACAATCTACTGTTGTGGCTTAATATTCTGTATGCAAATGCCCTGAGGCTGAACAAGGCTACTTTTCTTGAGATGCAAAGAGGGTGCCTGACAAGGAAGATCATGTTGTAAAACAACTAGCTGTCTGTTTCTTTGGCAATTTGAATAAAAACTTCAGTATTTGATTAAACATATTTAGTTTGCAAAGATACACAATGCATTCATGAAGCGAGCAGGAACTGTGATGCAGGTGCAGGTGCATCTTTCTATCTTGTTTAATGTGGCATACATAATGCTAACTCTCTTCCTTCACTTTAAAAAAAAGTAAGATAATGGTTAAAAAAATTTTTTTTTTTTACAGTAAAAGCAAGGTATATCAGGAAGGGCTCTTGCTCCCAGAACCTTGCTTTGCATGCTTGGCTTCCATTCTTATCCTGGGTACCTTCTCCAAGGAAATGTGTGGTTTTCTGTTCCAAAGGGAAGAACAGCTATTCTTAAGAAAAACTCTTGATATATAAATGCATGAATATACATATGCATGAACACACACACACACACCATGTAAAGCAGAGAGGAGCAAAGCAAAAAACCTTCACATCTCTCCTATCTGCTTCCCCCCCCCTAATGAAGTCTAAATAAGCCAAACAAATGGGCAATTGTCATAAAATAAAATAGTTTCATATTTTAGAAATAATTTCAACCTCATTGGAAATAGAGTGCTTTTAAAGATACATTTGCAGCCCTTACTACAAGAGAGATCTGCAAGATTACCCAAGGAATAAGATTGTGAGCTGCATCATATATGTATATGTATATGTATATGTATATGTATATGTATGTGTATGTGTATGTGTATGTGTATGTGTATGCGTATGTATATGTATATGTATGTATGTATGTATGTATGTATATGTATGTATATATGTGTGTGTGTGTGTATGTGTGTGTGTGTGTGTGTGTGTGTGTGTGTGTATGCTATAACACTTGTACCAAAAGTTTTAGGACGTTCCTACAACTTTTGATAGATATATGGAAGACTTAAATTTCTGATAAGGGCCCAGATGAGAAATACATGGGAGTCCTATGCATTTATTCTTGTCAAATTTCATAGATAACTACAGAAAGTTTTTAAAAA